CTTAATATAATCCCCATCTACAAATTGGCTTCATTATTCTGATCTCCCCACTGAGAGCTGGTGTGTGGGGAGCATTCTGGCACACTATGGCTGCTGTCGCATCATCCAGGTGGAGCTGCACATTGGTCGTGGAGGTGAGTCACTTTGTGGAGTGTCCAGAAAAATGCTATAAAAGTGTAAGCAATTATTATTATTAATTAATAACTTTCACAAAACCAGGACATGCAGAATGGCAACACTGAATCAAACAATGGTACAGGTACACTATATCAAATATACACACTATATCAAATATCTGTTTTTGACCAAAAAAACAAAAACAAAGCTAACTCCAAAGACAGTCAATAAAGACATGTTTTAATGAACAGCTCTAAAGTTGTAACCCATTTTTATAACAAATGTCTTCTATTATATTAAATGACAACTACTATAATTATACTGTATAATGAATGAGGCTATGTTAGTTTAAGATTTAAATTGTATTATTAAAATGTAAAGTTTTCTACTTTAAAACATTTATTTACCAGGGATACACAGAAAGAGCAACATTTTGGGACTGTTTAGCTAGCATCATGAAGGATCAAACAAGATCTTTAGCACTTAATATTTTAATACCTTCGCAGTTTTTATTCTCATGGCGCCTCACTCGGTATTACCCTTGGGGCGATGCATTTACACCAACCTCGTGCGTACACGATCTTCTGGTATGTTATGCAAAGTCCGCTGAATATTTAAGGGAAAGATAAAAGCTCCGTGAAGCTGCCCCCCCTAAAGACAGCACAAATGATCTAACCCACCTCATTTGTTAGTGCTGCATCTGTGCCGTTGAAAGTAGCGTTTGTGCTGCTTTCGTTCCCGAGACACAGCGCCTTATTTTTCTGGTGATCACGTGACCACGCACGGTGACTTTGACCTCCAGTGACCCCGTCTGCCGAGTTCAAGCGCTCTGTTACAATTTAGCTAAAGACAATCGATATCCATAAACACATGAGCCTCCTTAGATGTGAATAATACTAAGACGTGACGCATGCCAACAAGTTAACCATCTATGCCATAAACCTCTGGCTGTAATGTATGTTAAATCATCGTGATTGCAAAAATCTATGGTTTTTTTCTTTCCATATCTTTCCCTACCATGACACGCTGTTGCCAAACGCTTAACTGCGGGATACCATCGCGACAAGCCCTCGGCAGCATGTCATGATAGGGACCCCATGTATATTGCATGTATATTGCGGCAATGTATATCACGACTGGCGCCTTGCTTCCCTGCCACCCTGGCACAGCTGTCACAACAAAGGTCTCATATCCGGACATGATATACCCAGACAGGACGTGTAGCGATATATGGACTTTGTGTCGTGACATGGGGTCAGCATATCCCGTCAGGGTATGTCATATCGCGATATGCGGGCTCTTTGTCGCGACATGGGGGCGGGGCACTTTTGCCCTGGTATGTCATATCGCGATATGCGGGCTCTATGTCGCGACATCGGGGTGGGGCACTTTTGTCGGGGTATGTCATATCGCGATATGCGGGCTCTATG